TTAGCTGTGTTAGCATCTGTTAGCTGTGTTAGCCTCCATTAGCTGTGTTAGCCTCTATTAGCTGTGTTAGCGTCTGTTAGCTTTAGTGTATTAGCTTAGCTAAATTATTAAAATCTTTTCCCAGTTTGGTGAGATATTGTACTTGAAGCGCACGGGTTTTAGTTCTGCGTCTAATCTGTGAATAAAAGAAGTACAAGCCGTAACAACAGTTTCAGAGCTACGTACCGACTCTGTTCAGTTGTTTCAGCTCAGGTTTCCAGCTGACATCCAGCAGTCTGCGCTGACGGTCGATCACTTCTTCGTACCGCAGGATCGTCTTCTCAAACTCGGAGAAGATTTCTGAGGCAGCAGCGCTCAGTCTTTCACCGATGAACTCTCTCAGAAGATGAACCGAAGACATTTTCGCGAAAAACTGGTTAAATGTTCAACAAAGACGAGAAGGACAAATGACACGAATGTAGAAGCCACCTTCTTCTTCGTGTGTTTAATGTCTGCTGAAAAACGTGACGAAACTTTAGCGCCACCAAGCAGCGTGGAGCTGTTCTCGCTAATAAAACTCAGCTTCTATGTAATTTTAGCTTTACTCCAGAAAACGGCTCAAATAAACATCAGAAACAATAAACAACGGAATAAATAAATAAAGCTCAAATTATTTAAGATAAAAGTGTAACACTAGCATTTTAGTAAACCAGCCACTAGGGACCACAAGCCAGTGCATCTCTGGTTCTGGTCTGAAGTCCATGTAAATGGGATGGGGACCCTTTACAAAAGCTTGCCTTGAGCTCCAAAATGGCTGCCACTGGCTTCATGTCAGCCAGCTCTACCTTTGCCTGTCATTGTCCCCACATTTACAGTTGCCACCCTCAGTCATACATTCTAGACTTTCCTCTTCTCCCTCTGTCTCCTGACATGTTTCCCTCCTTGTGGTCTTCAACTCACTGTAGCATAATTTCTGCCGGCACCCTGTTTGTCAACAGCACCGGTGGCGGTCGTTGTTAACTCGGGCCTCGACCGATCCAGTATGGTGTCACTTAGATGAACTCACATGTTTGTTTTAGCAAATGTGTTTTACATCAGATGCACTTCCTGGCACAACCCTCACCTAAGTCTATGGAACACCAAAATGCTCAAAATTAAATAAATAAATCATTATGACATTTCTTAAACTATTTTATTTCATAATTGTTTTTCATTATGGCTTATGAACTAAACTAAAAATGATAACTTTTCATAATAATGAGCTTATTTCATGATGCTTTTTTATTTATTTTTGAGCATTTTGGTGTTCCACAGTCCAGAGGACTTGATTTAACTTTCTTTAGATTTAATCTTGTAGTTTTTTTGTTTTGTTTTTAACGGCTCCACGCCGCTCGGTGGCGCTAGACCTCCGCTCTGCTGTTTTTCAGCCACAATTAAACACATGAAGAAGAAAATGCCCCCTTTCAGTCTCAAACCTTTCCTTCTTTAATCGAATATTTAACTAAACTTTAGTTTTTAGAAAATGTCTTCGGTTCATCTTCTGAGAGAGTTCATCGGTGAAAGACTGAGCGCTGCTGCCTCAGAAATCTTCTCCGAGTTTGAGAAGACGATCCTGCGGTACGAAGAAGAGCTCGACCGTCAGCGCAGACTGCTGGATGTCAGCTGGAAACCTGAGCTGAAGCTGCACAGAGTCGGTACGTAGCTCTGAACCTGCTCACACAACCACCAGGAGCTCCGTGAGACTCAGATTAAACACAGAAATAGAACCCGTAAGTATCAAGTACAAAATGTCACCGAACCGGGAAAAATTGATGAATCTAGCTAAGCTAAAAAAACAAAAGCTAACCGCTGCTAACAGATCTAACCGCTGCTAACAGAGCTAACCGCTGCTAACAGAGCTAACCACTGCTAACAGAGCTAACCGCTGCTAACAGAGCCAACCGCTGCTAACAGAGCCAACCGCTGCTAACAGAGCTAACCGCTGCTAACAGAGC